TTTTTTTTTTAATTGCTTGTATCGATAAAAGAAAGCGTTGAAAACGTTGAACCCATCGAAAAGGCTTATACCAACATACTGTTGGTTTAGATTATTACTCTAAATGCAATAACACTACTTTTTGTGAAGGACATACTTCATCGACGCACATTATTGCAAACAGATGGTTGCATCGCAAATACATAAAATATACTGACATTTTTTGAGAAGCTAAAAGTGGAAAATATCTGTACTTTCATATCTAGGTTTAAGTTAGAAATAAGTTTTAACTTAAAATGAAGATAACAAATTAAAGTACAAATAAAAAATAAAATTGATTTAAAAAATCTATTTATTTAATAATTTTTTTATAGTTGAAACAAAATTTACTTTCTGTACGCAGAGTTTTTTCTGCTAAGTGTATATATATATATATAAATCATAAATTTAATAATTAAAAAAAACATAAATTTAGGCATAATCTAATTACAGATAAAATTATATTAATTGCATACAAATTGTACGCACACATATTACTTACAATTTTGCACAACTACCCAGTAGAAAAAGTGGTCTTCGAAGACATTGTCTTCAAGACGGTCTTTGATACCGCGTCCGCATTTTCAAGCAAATTTGTAAAACAATTGCTCAAAACATGAATGTAAATACTCTTTCTTTGCTTTCTCTCTCATTTTTAGTGTTCATAGCAACGTATTTGAATTTTGCCTCAGATGACGCTATGTTTTATAAATGAAGTGACGCAATAATTTTGAAGTGTAGTAAATAAACATTTGTGAAATAAATATTAAAAAAATCAAAATGAATAAAGAAACAAAATCATTAAACTATGAAATATTAAAAAAAAGAAATTAAATCAAAACAAATTAAATATTGACCTAGTTCCTGAAAAATATATTGATATTAATATTGAGGACAATAATTCCAGTGAAAGTTGTTTAAGAAACGAAACAAAGGATGTTGAAAATAAAAAAACTAAAAACACTTGTGAAAAATTAGCTGTTATATTTAAAAAAACACAGGATTAACAGGCGTCTGGTAATGATATTTTAGAACTCTTAAGATCAGAAGGTTTAATTGTACCAAAATCCTTTTCAACGCTTTTGAAAACATATAAAACTTCAACAATAGATGATAGCGAAATGCTATAAATTATTTTATATTAGTTTTAGTTAATTTTAGATATGCTAAGTTATATTAAGTTAATTATTTAAATTAATTTTCATTATGTTTTCTTAGTTTTTAAGTTTTATTGTTTAATTTAATTTATTTTTAATATCTTATTAAAATTTATAATTTACTTTTAAAACTTTTAATTTTGAATGTAATGTAAGAAATTATTATATAAAATAAATAAAAGTACAAAATACAACAATTTCTTTCTACTTATTTAAAGAGAAAATTGAAATTCATTTAAAATTTAAAGAGTGCAATAAAAGAGTAGAAATAAAAAAAAGAGTGAAAAAATTATATGAGCACTCCACTAAGAGCGCACAACTTTCTATCGAATGCGTCCGTTATGCAAGACATGGTCTTCGAGACGGTCTTCGAAACATGTACACAAAAATTCATTGAAGACATTTGGCTAATTTGTATGAAAGTGTCTTCGAAGACCGTCATACATTTGGATCGATCGGTCTTCATGTATGTATCCATGTCTTGAAGACGTCTTCGATGACGGATCGATCCGTTTTCTACTGGGGTATGACATACCAGTATGATAGTCTGCACCGCGCTTTAAGGGAATGTGTGCGCATTATGTCTTTGTTGGTGCTTTGAATATACCCAGTAGAAAACGGATCGATCCGTCATCGAAGACGTCTTCAAGACATGGATACATACATGAAGACCGATCGATCCAAATGTATGACGGTCTTCGAAGACACTTTCATACAAATTAGCCAAATGTCTTCAATGAATTTTTGTGTACATGTCTCGAAGACCGTCTCGAAGACCATGTCTTGCATAACGGACGCATTCGACAGAAAGTTGTGCGCTCTTAGTGCAGTGCTCATATAATTTTTTCACCCTTTTTTTTATTTCTACTCTTTTATTGCGCTCTTTAAATTTTAAATGAATTTCAATTTTCTCTTTAAATAAGTAGAAAGAAATTGTTGTATTTTGTACTTTTATTTATTTTATATAATAATTTCTTACATTACATTCAAAATTAAAAGTTTTAAAAGTAAATTATAAATTTTATTATAAATTATTATAAATTTTATTAAGATATTAAAAATAAACTAGTAAAAACTAGTAAACATAATGAAAATTAATTTAAATAATTAACTTAATATAACTTAACATATCTAAAATTAACTAAAACTAATATAAAATAATTTATAGCATTTCGCTATCATCAATTGTTGAAGTTTTATATGTTTTCAAAAGCGTTGAAGAGGATTTTGGTACAATTAAACCTTCTGATCTTAAGAGTTCTAAAATATCATTACCACAACGCCTGTTAATCCTGTGTTTTTTAAATATAACAGCTAATTTTTCACAAGTGTTTTTAGTTTTTTTATTTTCAACATCCTTTGTTTCGTTTCTTAAACAACTTTCACTAGAATTATTGTCTTCAATATTAATATCAATATATTTTCCAGGAACTAAGTCAATGTTTAATTTGTTTTGATTTGATTTCTTTTTTTTAATATTTCATAGTTTAATGATTTTGTTTCTTTATTCATTTTGATTTTTTTAATATTTATTTCACAAATGTTTATTTACTACACTTCAAAATTATTGCGTCACTTCATTTATAAAACAGCGTCATCTGAGGCAAATTTCAAATACGTTGCTATGAACACTAAAAATGAGAGAGAAAGCAAAGAAAGAGTATTTATATTCATGTTTTGAGCAATTGTTTTGCAAATTTGCTTGAACATGCGGACGCGGTATCAAAGACCGTCTTGAAGACAATGTCTTCGAAGACCACTTTTTCTACTGGGACGAGAGAGAAAAACGTCGTATGACACACAGGTATGATAGTCTGCACCTTTTACCAACATGTTGGCGTGCTCACCAAAATTTTGGTGAGCAGCTCTCGCATACGTGTTGTGTATGATAGTCTGTCACCCCTAACGATTCATACGTCATACAAGAGCATTTTTGCCTTGCAAATTTATTGTAAGCAGGTGATATATGTAAAATTTTAATATAAATTTAATATGTTTTTTTATTATTTTATTATTAGTGTTTTATTATTATTATTATTTATTATTATTAAAATTACACTTATAAATTTGTGTTAAATATTTAATTGTATTTTAGTTAAAAAAAAATATAAATTTTTACATAAAATTCTTATAAAAAATTAAAATACAATTAAATATTTTATGTAATATATTAAATATTTTGTTTAATTTATTAAATATTTTATTTTATTTTATTTTAATTTATAAACGATGATTATAAGTAAAACTTTTTTAAAAAAACATCTAAATATAAACATCGTTAAATTTATGATCTAAGCCCAGTAATAAAAAAATGTATTGAAAATTGGTCGTAATAACAATTAATTAATAACCCAAATTTAAGATATAATACTTTGTATTCTAAATATGCTTTTCTTTGTTAAAACTTGTCATTAAAATAAAAGAATTTTAAATGTTAATAACCTTTAACTAACAAAAATATGGAAATGATCAAACAAATAAGATATATACATTCTTATGTATATACATGTATATACATATATACATTATTTGTATGATCTATTTATGAAAAATTTCTTAAGAAACTTTACAGGTAGTGAATGAAATTAACTACGGTCCTTTACTGATCTTTTCATTTTAACTACTGTGCTTAATGACCAATAAATCTAAAAAATAAAAAATATGAATATGGATGCAGATAAAGCATTTTTAGATGCTTTCATCGAATGTTAATAAAAGTAATCGCTGTTTGTGGGATGTCCAAAGCTGTGAATATAAAGATCGCAAAAAAAAACGCGGCATATATAAAATATACAAAATTATAATCAATTATAAGCAAAGCACAACCTACACGTTAATTATCAATTTTTTCAATTTTAAAATTTTATTTTAAACACACAAATTTTCACAACACTACCCGCAAAAGCACTCTTCAAAAATTTTGCCTACTCTTGTGTGTCATACCTGTTCAAATTCGGTCGCTAGAAGAAATTTGAGCAAGAGAGAACGCAACTCGTATGACACACCAGTATGATAGTCTGCACCGCGCTTAAAACAAAAACAAAAAGAAGAAATCCACACACATTTGCTAATAGCAAAACACAAGCAGCTAACGCATAAGCAAGTACGTTGCATATATTCAAAAGCATAATAGTCAAAAATGTAAAATCGACTATTAGCAAGCAATCAAAATGAAACCAGTTTGCGTTTTTTGCTGTTGCTAATGCATATTCTTATTTTATTTTCATATGCAATGCATTAGCAATTAGTCGTTTGAAAAAAATTGACTGGTCAATATTTATGCATTAGTCAAAATATGGTAGCTTTTTCTATTTTTCAGCAAGCAATTCAAACCCTGGACGAGACTTCCAATTACATTCTTTGTGACTGTTCAGCCTTGATCTGGGCCAGGAAAAGGTCACTGAGTCAAGAACTACTGTCCTCTTCTGAAATTGAAAGGTCCTGAATTTATAATTCGAAAGAAGCAATCTCTTTTTTCTATTAGGGTCTGTAGCAGCACAAAAGATCAATTATGGTCGCGGTGCTCCGGTCTGTTAGGAGTTGGTAACCTGTTTATTTCTATTCTATTCTTCTAATATGTAAGATTCCCATTAAACGTATTTGTTACATTTTTATTTTATTTAATATATTGTGGCATTATAAACAAAATGAAGGTGATTACAATGTAACTGCAGTTTTTTTCTAGTTTTTCTAAACAAATTAGTTAAAATTTTGTTAATAGAAAATACTAGTATATTATATTTTTTCATACTGGCATTTGCGCAAAAAAAAAATTGCAAGCGACTTTTACAATTTAAACTAACATAAAAATTGAACATTCTTTACCTGAAAGTTTAGTCAGGTTTACATAATGAGCAGCATTTACGTCCATCAGTTTGCCATTACTGCATTTGTCTGTAACATTAGTATTAGTTTCAATGGTTTTAGATGAAGTTCCTGAACTTAAAAAATTTTCATTACAGCAAGGATGGATGTCTTCTTGTACATTCTTTGTTTTAATTATGACAGCTACCTGCTTAGGACCACTAAAATCAATTAATTGCGAACGGTTATTATTCATTTTATTCAAATGATCGTTTTGTTCTGTACAAATATCAATTGATACAAAACTTTCATCAGAATCGGAGATTATTCTATAAAAAAAATGTAATAACATATTAAAATAAAAATATAAAATCTCAAATTCGCGAAAAAAATATCTATTAGTTTATATCACACTAGTCAAATAATAACATAAAAATGAATTTAATTTTCTACAAAAATTACTTTGCTATATATTTAAAAGATGAATATGATAAGTCTTTAACTAAGAACATTCCCGGCATAATAGTATACATTAACTATAAAATAACTTGCGTATGTATTGAAATCAATGCAAAAATTAAAATATCACTCAAAAATTTTAATAAATATAAACCACATTTCGTTTTAAAAATAATATGACCAAGAAACTAATTTCTAAACAGTAATGATTTGCAACAAGGTTTTTATGATTATTTTTTCGCTGAACATTCAGATATTTTAAATATTAAAATTCATTTATACATATGTATATGTATGTGTCAAATACCAAAGGTTGCTGTTACTGATATATTAAAATGACATCACTGTGATATAATCTTTAGAGACAACATTGGGCGAATAGTAGAACAGACAGGAGTGAAAAAAAGTCATAAAATGCAGTTGTTCTAAAGGATTTGTGTTTGAATTTAGTTTAATATTTATTTCACTAAGTTCAATTGCCTGTTTTTCCATTTTTTTTTTTTGGTGTGAGAATGGATACTTTTCAACATTTCATTTGTATGCAAAACTATTAAAATGTAAAGAAATTACAGTTTCTTAAAATTTTTAAACAGAAACATTTAAAAAAATAAACTCACAACTACTCTAAACTTCAAAGGTTTACGTTCGTTCATTAGAAGAACTGGGACTACAAAATTGTTCTGCCTTAAAATTGTTATCAATTCTAGAGAGAGATATATTGTATTAAACGTTTATAAAAAGAAGTTTATTGTTCGTATGGTAAAAAGCATAACTAAAAAATATACAAATATTTACTTATTTTGTTAATAAAATTTTAAACTGTAATTGTAAAAAACACTTTTTGATTTCTGAATAGTAATGTGCTCAGCAGCAAATGGTAAAACAAGGATACACACATAGTATAAATTTTTTCAATATAGTGCAATACTTTAATAAACCACAACTAAAGGAGCTTATATATACATATATTCAATAGAAGGCACATGCGTCAAATACTCTGGTATATGCGCAATTACGCATAATATGATGCAAACATGCCCAAAACTTATAGTAAAAAAATTTTCCACAGCCGCTTTTTTCAACAAATTTTTATGTAATTTGTTAAATATCATTCTAAAACGAACGAGACATACATATTTCAATTGATAAAAATAAATGATTTTTTGATATCATACCACTTATCAGATAAGATATAATATTTATTCGAAATATAAAAATTATTTCGAACCAATGTTTTGAATGATTATAATACATTTTGTTATATTAGCTCAAATGAGACTAATTTCAAGTTAATACAATAATCATACTGTATATATTGTCGTTTTGAATTTTTTCTACATAAGTCCTCCAAAAAAATAATATATAATATAATAACAATTTTTGGTATAAATTGTCATCGCGTTTTTTTTAAATTCTTCGATATATACTTAAGAAATTTGACAAAGACAAACTTTTTACTAATTACAATGTAAATTACATCTTTAATCGAATGATACCAGTTTCAAGTTAATGCAACTAACCGTATCAGTGACAACAGTGTGACAACACTATATAATGCTGCTCAACTCTGTGGACCTTTGCCTTAAAGTGGTATAAGTTGCTCCATAAGAGGATCTCTAACAGAAAAATTTGTAACCGAAAGAAGAAGCTACTAGCGCAACACCCCAGGTAATATTCATGTTAAAAAGATAGTGCGTGCGTTCAACTAAAGTAGGATATCCCTCCATAGTAAAACGGAACTGAAGTTGTTATTTAATATTATCTAATGGGCTGATAATGAGCTGCCTTATTATCTTAATATGATGTCTAAAGAGACTCTGTAGGCACATTATTTTAGACTGTCTGGCTTTGGTTTGGAATAGGAAGAGACTGCTAGAGCGAAAGTTCCTATCCTTGACTGAATTTCAACAACAGACATTTTGGCTTTTAATCTAAGGTTAGCCAGTATGTAACGCAAAAAATCAATCATGGTCGTAGTGTTCTCTGAAAGCCAACATCGTTGAAATTCAATTATATTCTATTTTATCAAAATGACTTTCTAAAATAATAAATAATTATAAAATAAATAATAAAACCATAAGTTTAGTAAGTTAACTACACACTTATTTTTAATATTACATTAGTGAAATAGAGAATTTGTGATAAAACTTGTGCAATAACTAGTTACAATGATATACCTATTTTAAAAAGCATATATTCCGAAAATTTTGTTCTATAATGCATACATTACGACAATTTTGGGTAAGATGAATTCATAACAAAATGTATCACAACAAACACACACTTAAAGGCATTCAAATTCGGGATTTCACTGACTATGAAAGTAAATTATTTTAACTATAGGTTCTTTGATTCGGTACTCGCGTTAATAAGCGAAGCTAATCAAAAACAATCTAACAGAAATTGCTGGGGACATCGAAAGAATATCGTATATACTTTGTAAGGATTGCAAACCAGCAATGCGTATATAAGACAATGCATTTGTTCAGGAAAGTGAGATAGTGATCGACAGTTGAAGTCATCACTCGCACGCAGGGGGAGTTAGTGATCGACACCCTAAGTAGACAGAAGCACGCAGAAGCATTCGAAGGCATTACCAGAGGACAGATATAATCAAATTCCTAAGGCAGTACACGGGGCTAAGTATGAAGGAAACACCTGGCCCTTTTTTATTTATTTATTTATATATATCAGGATATCCTTACACGGTAACAAATATAAGTGTGGACACGTTCATATCTTGTTACGAAATCCTGATATAAAGCGTGAAACCGTTTTAATCCTCCTATAGCCACCGTACATAAACGTGAACACGTTTATATCCTTCCACGGTAGCAAATATAAGCGTGAACACGTTAATATCCTGTTGCGAAATCCTAACGTAAAGCGTGAACACATTTTTATACCAAATCATATATAGGCGTGAACACGTCCTTTTTTAACAACGTGTATAACTATAAACCCTTTTACAACAGGTATCGAAGAACAAACATCAGCAGCAAACTACAGCAAGCAGCAAAGAACGATACGCTGACTATTATCGAATATCATGTAATAGGGCACCACACAGATACAATATAAACATAGAATAAGTGAACACTGTTAAGATTTAAGTAAATTCATTAATAAATAAAGATTAAAACGTCCCAAGACCCAACGACCCAAGACCAGCCACTGAGTATTACCCCGGCGGAAGGAGCGACAAAAAATTGTCGTTACAACTTTAATTACTATAATTTTTATAAGAATCTAAGGGAGACTATTTTAATTGAGACACATTCATATTGATATTATATAAATTAGAGACAATCCAAACTTTTATAGTTCATTTCTTCTTTTCCTAAGATAATATTAAAAATATACTGCTTTTTTAACAATATACTCTAATAGCTGTTGTAAAATATTTAACTTACATATTATAATATATTAACACTTTATAAAATATACTCACCCACTGGAATTTATAGTAGACTTTTCAAGGTTGTCTGGAGACTGGTCCTCTAGCTTTTCTTTGTTTGTATATTCTTTAGAAATGGTATGCGTTATATGGTTATTGAAAATTTGCGGACAGTTTAGCAATGCGTTAGTGACTGTTTTTATAGATGCAATTTTATCGTTTACTGTATCAATCTCTTTTATCTTAAATTTATCAAAAGAGTCATATTTAACTTTGAATAGATCACATTTATTATTTTGTCCATTTTTACATATTGAAATATTATTCTTATTTTTAATTATTTCACCTCGACTTTGAGTATTGGTATTACACTCGCTAGATACAAGATCAGGCGGCAATGATGATGATTTTAAACAAAAATCTTTTACAGTTTTGTTCATTTGAGTTCTTGAATTGTATAAAAGTTTAACATTTTCATTATGATCATTTTTGTTGGAAGTATTTAATAAAGGAATTTCATTATTTTCACAAATTGATTTAATTTGAGCGTTTGGGTACTCTAAATTATTTGATTTTTCAAAATGGTTAATATCAGTTTGATCTTCTTTATTAAATCTATATGCTACTTCTGAGTCTTCGTCACTCATGTAATTCAAACAATTTTCTTTGTACATAATATCATAAAGGAAGTTAATTGGACGAGATTCGCTTCGTACGCGAACAATTCGTTTACGATTTGCAAAGCGATATAAATATCTACTTCTAGCAGGTGAAAATCTTACATTAGATGTGTTTGTATTTTGATGTGAACTACTGTTGTTAGTGTAATCTACAGATTCATTTGGATGTAATAATTTTTCAAATTTACTTTCGTTCGATGATGATATATTACAATGTTTTGAAAAGTTATCAGTTAAATTAATTAAATCACCTTTCCTCTGATCAACAAGCAAATTTGAACTATCCCATTTCTCGTCTACCACTTTATTACAAATAGTTTTATTTTTAACTGAATGTGAAAATTCATTTTGTAGACTTGTTTCTTGATAAATATTTCTTTTAATAATACTAGGAAATTGTTGAGTTTCTGTTAATATAGATGGCGATTTATACACACTTTTATAATTTTCATTTAAAGTATCATATATATTTTCAAGATTTTTCGACTGTAACCTTTCATTAGTAGAGTATTTAGCACTAGTATGATTATAAAAATGTGGATGATGCTCTTTATAAACCGTTGGATTCTGCGACTGTTGTATTTTATTATCACAGTTTATATTACCAGCGATACCATGATCCGCGGCTCCTGAAATATAAATTTCAATAATTATTTTGTCATACAAATAACTGCTTTACATTAAATAATTTATTTTTCATGCTTTTATAGATATTGTATTTTCCTTTTCAAGCATATTATAAACAAACAATTCAAATATGCAGTCAAATATACAGTAATTTAAAAGTTGAATGATACTTTTAAATAGTTTTCTAAATTAGTTGTACGCTTATAAAATTTATTACTTATACTTCAGCAATTGGTATTAGTAATAAATTACAAGAAAAAATGTTTTTCTACAAGAAAATAACAAATGCAGTAAGTGACACAATCAAGATCTATTTTGTCAGTAGAGTGTGTAAACTTAATTAAGTTTCACTTATATGTTTTTGATATAATCTTTTGACACGATGGCAAAAATAATAATTGACAATAGTATATCTATCTTTATTTTTCATTAACCTTAGTTTGAATATAAGACCTCAGGATATTATATATACATTACTGTGTTAACTGCTAAAATGAACTCTGATTAACTGCAAACAAGGAATATTTTCATTAAAATATTTTCGGTTTAAATTAAATCAAAACATTAATAAATAATGTGTATGTGTCTGCATTTTCTAAGTTTCATTTGAGTGAAACCTCTGCATGTTATGCAGTCGTAGTTTAATTAATCTATTGATTAAATAATTAAAAATTTTTCTATATACATATATTATAAAACATTTGGCACATTAATTAATATTTTATATATGAAAAATGTATATTACTAACTTTGATAAAAGGAAAAATCGAACTCAAATGCTCCTACACTTTCTTTGTGATACATCGATTTGTTATTTTTTCTGATTTTTTCGCTATTTTGAGCCACAACACCTTCACGAATTAAACACTCTTTACTTATATTCATTGTAGGTTACTTTTTTTTTAATTTTCATATATTCAAAATGTAGTATGTAACTTTTATTTTTAATACAATTTCCGTTCTATTTCTTTTTTTCCGACAGAATATATTACGGAACCTGCCTTTCATTATATACTATTTTCATTACAATTGTTAGCTATCGATTGAGCTGAATAGTTTTGTGCAGCGCTGTAAAGTACTATTAGTGAATAAGACTGTCGAAAAGAAATGTTTTTCATTGCATTGATTATGCACATGTACACGGTCAGTTTTCTATTAATATAGACTGAAGCCAAATAAAAACATCGACGAAAGTTCTTTATTTGTCGTACAAAGAAAAAAAATAATAATGACCAAGTTAATTTTCGAAAATAGAAATCAATATAATGTAAAATGCCACTAAACCATTATAAAACCACTAATTCCAAGCATAAACGCAAAAACAATTTTTTAAATAAATATATTAAATATCATATTAAAAGTATATGACTAAAAAAATAAAAACATAATCTATAAGCAAATAAACTCTTTTGTACACAGTTGAAACACAGCTTAAAAAAATAAAATGTTACAAATATGTATATTTAACTGTTATTATATTTTAATCTGCTAATCTGCATAAGCGCATTCACGAATTCACGAAAGTTGAAACACAGCTTAAAAAAATAAAAATTTACACATATGTATATTAAACTGTTATTATATTTTAATCTGTTAATCTGCATAAGCGCATTCACGAATTCTTTTTCTGGCGCATATAGTACAGCAAAATTGCATATATCTGATTAATTCATTGCAATATGTAGGTAATTATTTCTTCCACAATATATACTTAAAGCTAATTTTAGAATACTTTTTAGAATACTAAATATTTTAAATATAATATACAATATAATATTGAATATATTTATATATTCAATTTTAACAACTTAACAATATGCAAAGATTTTATTTAAGTAATAAAATGAAGACAAGCATATGTATATCTAAATGTTTTTTAAAATTTCATCCTAGAAATAAATTAATTCTTTTTATTGTCACATTTTGTGTTTTTTATACTTATCATAAATTCTAATGGAAAACAAAATATTAACTTATACAAATGCACATTTACGGAATACAAGAACATAATAATCACAATAACAAAAAATTTAAATTACACGTCATAACATAAGATTTATTAGGTTTATCGGTCCACATATAGCTTAAATTAACAGTTAGTTAAACTTACATCAACATTAAAAATATTTTTATTCAACATGATTAGAATGAAATTTATTAATAATAATCAGAAAGTAATAATCAGAAAAAATGTATTCATTTTATATACAAAACAGAATAAAAAATTAAACAAAGAAATTTACAGTATTTGCAATATATACAAAAAAAAAAAAAATGATTACTAAAACATAATTCAATATATTTAAAAAACACGTTTTGCAATATTAAACTTAATTATGAAATGTTTCTAAATAACAAGAGCATAGCTGCGCATTCGAAATTTATTAATTACATCTTAGCACAAATAAAATTATGTATGTATATTTTAATTTAATCCATTACAATAGTTTTTTTTATTTAAATAAAATTTTAGTATCAAAATATTATAGTAGCAATAAATGTTAATATGCTTATAAATATTATAATTATAGTACGCATATCATCAGGCGATATAATATCAAGTGAACAGGCTGTCAGTATATGTTCAGATGATTGCAAAATATTAACCATGCGTTTCTTTACTTTTGATGGCTTTATAAATGTATACCCTTTGTTTTTATACAAAATTAAATCAGTATTCTTACTTTTAATATTTAGTTTGTTATACATAAGATATTCAGTTTTATTATATATTCTATTAATATGATCACTTTTTTTAAATTTGTTAAATTTTATTAAGCCACATAATTGATCTATATTCCATCCATATGTTTTGTATTTGCTCTTTATATCGGTACATAAGTACTCTTTTTTGTTTGAACTATTGTTTATATTTATTATATATAATTGAAATGATTTGTCAATTATTACAGGAAATATATTTACTTCATTAAGTTTTTCATAAAAATTTTTTAATTTTTTATTGTGCTGCATATGTAATATTTCAGTGTTACTTTCATATATTTTTATTAAGGCCTCAATAAGCATTTCTGGTTCCATTAACCCATATTGTAAATATTTTAAATACATCGTATAAAAAAATTTATAAGTATTTATTGGGAATGCAATGGCAATAACATTGTTAGCATTACAAGTACAGATATGGGACACATGACCAATTTTTAAATATGTTTCATGCTGATCACTCAAAAAATAGCAGTAAATACAGTGATTAAAGCATTTAATCACCAGCGAATTTTCAAGCAATAGATGATTAGTTACGAGCAAAACACTTATTATCGATGTATTATGTTCAATACACTCGATATTACCTGATTCATTTTCATTTAATTTTGAATTTTCACTTTTAACATCACGTATTAAATATTGTCCAATTCCAAATATGGTTGTTAATTCTTCTGTTGAATTATATTCCGGTGACAGTAATAAACCTTCATTGGACACTTCAGATAAGTTACTCAAATTTTTATCTTCACAAAAACGTAAAGGTGGTGTTGGGGAATGACTTATATTACTATTTGTTGTTATATTTGGCGTTGTACTAGATGATTTGGCATCATATGAAGTAGTACTAAATGTTTTTATAGCATCTGTGCTAAGGGTAGGATTCTCACTGCTTGACGATTTTATATAATCACTTGATGAATAAGGATTAAAGGAAGTTATACTTGAAGACTGGTGTAGATTAATAGAAAGACTAGATGATTTTACTAAACAATCGCTAGATGACGACATTGAGGAAGCTCCGACACTTGAATTGAGTGCATTTTCATTATTATTTTTACTATGACATATATGCTGCGAATCTTTTTCGACTATTTGTTTGTTAGGCGATATATTTTGCTGACATTTTTCAAAAATGCTAATGCTATTCATACGTACGATATCTGGCTCGATTATAACATTATTTTTACCAACTACTTCTACATCGTTCCCAAGTTTAATTAAATCAATCATGCAACGTTTAGATATTTCTTCAATTTTATCTGATTTTATTGGATCCAAATTTTTTAACAAATTGGGAACAGCTAAATCACATTTTGTAGTTGGTTTCGACATTTCTACTAAAAATGTTTTATCATATTTTCTATCCTCACATTCCTTATCTGTTTTTAATAAATTAATGATATTTTTAGACACAATTTCACTTGGAGTAGGAGTGAGATTATTACTTATTGTCTTACTGGAAACATTTTCAATTTCTTCTTTACTATTTATCAAACTTTTTTCATGTGTATTATGAAAGCAAGTATCATTATCATTACATAATTTTTTGAATTTTTTACTAAGTGTGGTACTATTTTCCAGATTTTCATTTCCATTATTAGTCCCTGGAAATTGTGGAGATAAAGTTTTATCTTTTGCAATCATTGTCTTATTTGGATTATCACTTGAGGAAAATAATTTATTAGGCAATTCAGATATTGCACCTTTCTGACTTGGGTGGTGAAATGGGATTTGTATATGTTTCGCAGTTACAGTTACATTGGCAGTTGCACTTAATAAACAATCTTTATGTTTCATGTTACATAATGTATGTAAAAGATCGCAATCTTCTTTTGTTACATTTAATTTATACATATTTTCTGCACTTTCCGATCGTTTGATAGCTGGTGTTACTTCAGTGTAAAATTTAACATCGCCCCCAGAAGGTTTAGCTGCATCACGTTTAATGAGTGCAAAATTATTTGCAGATTGAGTACGTATAACACGATTTCCTTTCTGTTCACATTTAGGAGGTATGCACATTTGATTTGTAAGGGGATTATCTTTGCGTAAAGTACGAACCGCTAAATCATCTTTTACAATATCAGGTAAATTCGTTATTTCACGTTTCTTCATATTAGTAATAGAATGAATATTTAGGTAATCTGTTTTTGATGCTTGAACGATAGGTTTTAAGGGGATACCAAATGGAAGTACTTCAACTGTCTTACTATTTACAATTTTCATATTTCGATATGCAACATCGTCAAGCACTGGATCTGGTTCCCCTGAAGGCGATTCCTCATCATATGAATCATATTGACAAAAATTATTATTTTTTAAATTGAAGAAACTTTCATTATCACTAGTTTTAGATGTTTCTTGAAAATCTAAACTTTTATATATAGTTTCCAACTCATTTATAGCATCTTCAAGATTAGATGACGATTCTAATTGAGATTGTTGCAATTTATTATATACATTAACATTGTTATGTGGCCTCATATATGTTTCATATATAGGCATTTTATGCTTTTCACGCCTTTCTGCAACATATCGATCATAAAGATTTTCGTTATAAACATCGTTTGAATTTTGAATATTTGATGTCATTAAGTTAACCAAGTTTTTGTGGTTTTTATAAGGTTTGCTATGTTTATCTTGTTCAATATGCGTAACATTACCGCATTCGCATTGTTTACCACTTATAAGACTTAATTTTGTGTTTTCGACAGTGTTATTTTTTATTTTAAAACAATTACAGCTGTTGGGGAATAAATTTTTCTTTTCATTATAGTTTTCACTCGTATTATTATGTTGATCTACAATTTTTTCAGCAATATTTGATATATTTGAAACTTCAACCAACTGCGCAATTTGTTTATTCAAATTGTCATTATTTATTGTCATCATATTATTGACATGTATTGGTTTCCGAGATCTAGGTAAAGCGTCAGCAATATAATATATACTACTAGTATTAGGTACAGTATTATGTGATAAAGTACAAGTTCCATCAATGACTGGTAAAGTGTCATATGTATAATCTGTAGCCATTTTAACAGTTGGCGAACTTTTTCGATTTAGTGGACTTCGATTGCCACGAGTTATAAACCGACGACTTTTTGATACTGTTTCCACAGGCTCTAAATTTTTTGCAACTGAATTTATGGGAATAGTATTTAACAAGTGAGCTGATCTTGATTGGTATTTTTTACCACTTTTTATCAAAGTGTTTTTATATTCTTTTATATCTGAAGAACATAACCTAGAATTTTCATCGAAAGCATACGATTGTGGACGCGAACGAGTATTGTTTAAAATTTGCATACTTTTGCTAACATGTATTTGTCGTGATGTGCCTCTTGGCGGTGGTGTCGGAGGTGTAAGAGATAAGCATTTATTAATGACATTTGAACAGATTTGACTATCGCAACTTATACTCCTCTTTGTATCAATTGGATTTAATAACTGATTAGTACCTTGTGTTTGTTTGCTATAAGATACATACGGACTGATGTTTTGTAAGCCATAAGTATTTTCAAACTGTGAGTCAAAATTACCATTAAGTCCAGATTGTCGAGTATTATCAACAGGTAAAAAATTAATATTATCAAAAAATTCTTTAGATTTTTTTGGTTTCGTAACTGAAGTATAAAACAGCCTCTCATCTTTTTTCGTAGAGTTTTCAAAATCACGAGATAGCCGCTTATAATAACGCTCATTACGAGCACTCCGAGTACGACGATTGCTAACATTTACAACTAGTGCACCAATGTTGGTGTTTCCATCACTACTTTGTCTTTGGGATGCATTAGATGAAAAATTAGTTAATGGCTTATTAAATAATGGTGGTAATGAAGTTGTTGAATTCCTCAAGTCTGGATGGTTCAACGGCTTATGTAGATGTGCTGCATTTACATCAATTGGAGATGTTTCAAATGGTAAAAATAGTTCATATTCTGGTTCTTTACTATTATTCTGATCAATTACTTTCCCAGAGTTAAGAGACATTATTGAAATATCACTATTTTGAAATAATCTTAGTTCATTACACTTTCTATTGTCATATGTCTTCTTGATATTAGATTTTTGTTTACTGTTTTTAGTACGGTTATTTTTCTGAATTGATTTGAATCCTGCTTCATCCTCTTGTGATGAAGAATCTGAATTGATTTCTTTTTTTTTTAAAAACAGCCTGCTTATAGACCATTTTTTGTTTGAATTTTTAACGCAAGGACTAACATTTTGTGCACTGAAGGAATAACTACCGCCTTCATTATGTACGTTATTCATACTGTCCATGTTGATGACTACCCGTTATAATAATCTAAAATTAAAATAAAACATTCAATATATACATATATATATCAATATATATCTAGATATTACAATAAAACGAAATTAGCGTAATAATATGTATAATATTTCTAAGCCTTATAACTAGCTATAAATATATTTAATTCAAATTTGTTTAATTGTATTATATACAAATAAAGAATTGCTTTTTATAAACAAGAATACATATTAAAATTAGTTTATGCAGGTGCAGGTGTAAATGCGCAACAGTTTAAAAAACAAATCAATTTGATTCGAAATACATATATCTTAAAGTTTCATATGAGCTCTTGTTTTTTAATTCTTATCCATTGAAAATCCTTACATTTAATTTAGTTTGCCTGGCTATATACATACATATCGAATATTTTTGTTTTTATTTCAGAATTGCAAAAAAAAACATAGAACACGTTTAAAAAATTTTACTTTTTTTATCAATATTTTTTTGCATTGAGCAAGAAACAGATTTTTAAATCTTTTTAAACACACGAAAACATATTCACCGAATGAGTATTTTTAGAAAAAAATATACACATGTATGTGCTTTAATATTTGAAATTGAGAAAATTTTATTTATAATAAATTGCGCAAAATATTATATTATTACTTTCTAATATGATATTAAATAAAAATTTAATGTTAATTGGAAATATATAAAATATGTGTATATACATATGTATGTATATCAATAGAATTATTTGTACTTTTATGGAATTAAAGTGAAACAGAAAATTTTATAATAAAAATATTTGTAATAGTTTTATAGTTTATTATATTTATTATTATTGCAAAAAGCACATACAGTTATAGTTTTATATTTTTATTCACTTAACATATGTGTTAACCACAAAAAGGCTTATGGATCTCTGAAATAAAACTGAAACTGTCAGAACTTAATAATTCACACAAACTACGATATGAATGTGCCTTCCAACTAATTTGAATTATTAATTCTCAATTAATTAATTCTCAAAAAGAAAGCAAATTCTGCCAATTTATTAAATCAATGTGATCACATATCATATATAGCACATCAAAATTTTATAAAAATCAATTTTTTAAGTACGAGTTCGTTTTTTGATATACATACGTATAATATATGAATATCTGGAATATTTATAAATATGCTTACCTCTGCTAAGCCCCTTTCTAAGTAAGTGCGATATAACGTAACAATGCATGTGGAAATTATTTGATTTTTCTTTATACAACCACTTCATCCAGTTTTAGTTACATTTTCATATAATTTGTGGTATTATATAAATTTTTTAATATATTTTTTATTTACTTACCTTATTTTAGAATGCTATTTTACTACAAATTTGTTAATTGGTATCAAAATTTTTATATTTATTCACACTGGAGTTATACATATACTTTTTTTTTGAAAAATTAGTTCACAACAAATTAACGAATTAGTTATGTTAAATAAAAAAAGAAATGCTAAAAATAGAAATATTTATACGTATGTAATATATGAAAATAGATTTCATAAAAAGTACTTACTCTTAAAGGAACGGTACTAAGATTAATTGAATTACATCTAATTCAATTTATGTCTGACTAAAGGTTTTTGTATTATGCAAATTCTGGGTTTACTAATTTTATCCAACTACATGTCTAATTTATTGTTACAATTTTTTTTGATTTTTACTTTAACATTAACTTGACTACATAATAAATATTTAAATACTTAATTCAATTATACTTTCTCCTTCACAATATATGACAATTTGCACGGACACGCAATTTAATGTTTTATATTTTTTCTTTCTATCTGTCATTCTACATTTTTTTAAACAAACTAGTTGGCCTCTTCACACAAAAATTAAGATATGATTTCAATACATTTTATATTATATCTATTTAACGCTTGTGAATGCTTGTACAACAATCAAAGCAGAGTCTGTTGGTAATGCAATAGAGAAATATTATATAAAAAGCATGGTCTGAATTGCTGTATTTAAAAATGAAATTGTTTATCGGCTAGCAGACAAACCAAATTAAAAAGCTTTTATTATTATTATTGTGACATTACTCCGCCTTAGCGGTTGTTTTAAAATAATGTTTTAAAAGTTTTTGAAATAATTAATATTATATATAATGTTTATGGTGTTAAATTTGCTTATATATGTTGATTTTTGTGAACATTTATAAATGTTTTGTTAATTTAAAAAAAAATTTTAATAAAATTATTATAAACCTGAAAA